TTTTGTGGAGTGGGAGGAAATCCTGAGGTAAAAGGGGCAGATTTGGGGTAAAAGAGGCAAATTTGGGGGTGTGGGGGACGTTGCTGAGGTAAAGATTTCAGATTTTGGGGTCTGTGGCAGATGTTGGGGTGGAAGAGGCAGATTTCAGGAGGTGAGAGGAAATCCTGAGGTAAAAGGGGCAGATTTGGGGTAAAAGAGGCAAATTTGGGGGTGTGGGGGACATTGCTGAGGTAAAGATTTCAGATTTTGGGGTCTGTGGCAGATGTTGGGGTGGAAGAGGCAGATTTCAGGAGGTGAGAGGAAATCCTGAGGTAAAAGGGGCAGATTTTTGGTTAAAAAAGGCAGATTTTGGGGCACTGAGGCAGGTTTGGGGTTGAAAGAGGCGTATTTCAGGGTGTGCAGAAACATTTCTGAGGTAAAAAATTCTGATTTTGGGGTCTGGAGAAGACTTTGGGTGGACAAAGGAAGATTTTGGAGAGTGGGAGGAAATCCGGAGGTAAAAGGGGCAGATTTTGTGGTAAAAAAGGCAAATTTGGGGTGTTGGAGACACTTCTGAGGTAAAAAAGGCAGCTATTGAGGTGAAGAGACAAAAGTTGGGTTTTGGGAACATATCTGTGGTTAAAGAGGCCAATTTTGGCATGTGAGAGAAAATTCTGAGGTAAAAGGGGCAGATTTTGAAGTAAAAATGCAGATTTGGGGGTGAAAATGCAAATTTGAGGGGTGGGACAACATTTCCAACGTTAAAAAAGAATTGAATTTTGGGGTCTGTGGGCAGGCTTTTAGGTAGGAAAGGCAAATTTTGGGGGCAGGGAGGAAATTCTTAAATAAAAAATGTGGATTTTTGGGGTAAAATGGCAAAATTGGGGTCTGGAGGCAGATTTTGGGGTAAAATGGCAAAATTGGGGTCTGGAGGCAGATTTTGGGGTAAAATGGCAAAATTGGGGTGAAAGAGGCAGATTTCGGGGTCTGGAGGGGAATTTGGGAGTAAAAATGACAGATTTGGTGGAATAGGGGGAGATTGGGGAGTCTGGAGGGATATTTTGAGGTGAAAAAGGCAGATGGGGGTGAAAATAGCAGGTTTTGATGTCTGGGTAGAGGTTTGGGGTTGAAAGAGGAGATTTTTGTGGTGAGAAGGGCAGGTTTTGATACCTGGAGGGAGATTTGGGACAAAAGAGGCAAATTTTGAGGTAAAAATGGCAAACTTAAGGTGAAAATGACATATTTTTGTGCCTGGAAGGAGATTTTGAGGCAAAACAGGCAAATATTGTGGTAAAAAAGGGAGATTTGGGGTGAAAATGGCATATTTTGGGGTCTGGCGGGAGATTTGGGACAAAAGAGACAAATTTTGAGGTAAAAAGGACAAACTTTAGGTGAAAATGGCA